AGTTGGATCAGGACCCCATTGGGACCCCCTGACCTCCCTCCCACCCAAATTTTTTCCCCCTTTGAGCCCCCAAGATGCATCAGGACCCCATCGGGACCCCCCAGCCCTGATTTCTCCCCCCTTTTTTCAGCGATCGTGAACGTGAACGTGAACGTGACCGTCGCGACCGATCCCGGGATCGTGAGCGCAGGAGATCCCGATCCCGAGAGCGCCGGCGTCGAACCCGCAGCCGGGAAAAGGACGAGAGGGAACGGAGCAAACGGGGAGGCAGCAGGGAGAGAAGCAAGGAACGGGACAGGAAACGGCGCAGCCGATCCAGAGAGAGGAAAAGGGAACGGGAGAGGGAGAGGGAAAGGAAAGATGAAGGTCCGGATGGCCCCGATGGGGGAGGAGCGGAGGATATGGGGGGGGGTCCGCAAGATTTGGGGTCCGGGGGGGACGCGGAGGATAAAGGACGGGATCGGGAACGGCGCCGCGGGCACCGGGAGAGGGAAAGGAGGAGGGAGAGGGAAAGGGAGCATAAAAGGGAGAGGGAGAGGCCGGAGAGGCGTGAGGAGAGGGGGGGGCCCGACGGGGGGGAGGCGATGGGGGAACCCCCCCACTTCATGGAGCCGCCCCCCCACGCCCCTTCCATGCCCCCCCCCGATGGGTATCTGGGTCCTGAGAATGGCTTCATGTTGGAGCCCCCCATGGAGTGACCCCAATAAAGGCTGTTGGAGAGAGAGGGGGTGGATGGATGGATGGATGGACGGACAGATGGGTGGGTGGTGGTTTGGGGGGGAGAGGGGGGGGTCTGACCCCAAATGGGGGTTTTTGTCCCCAAAGTGGGGGTCCTTCTGCATGGAAATGGAGACTTCGGTGAAGAGATGGGGTTCCACCCCAAAAGTGGGGCTGTGTCTCTCCAAAATCATCCCCTTTCTCCCCAAAATGGGGTCCTTTCTCACATTGGGTCCCATTGCCTCAAATCAGTCATTTCTCCCCCAAATATGGGCTCCCAAACCCCCCAAAATGGGGGCTTTTGTTCCCAAAATGGGGTCCTTCTGCACAGAAATGGGGACTTTGGTGAAGAGATGGGGCTGTACACCAAAAGTGGGGCTGTCTCTCCCCAAAATGGGGTCCCTTCTCACATTGGGTTCTTCTGCCCCAAATCAGAATCGTTTCTCCCCAAAATGGGGGCTTTTGTCCCCAAAATGGGGGTCCTTCTGCACAGAAATGGGGTTTTCAGAAGAAATGGGACTCTACCCCAAAAAATGGGGCTGTCTCCCCAGAATCGTCCCCTTTCTCCCCAAAATGGGGTCCCTTCTCACATTGGGTCCCATCGCCCTAAATCAGTCATTTTTCCCCCAAATATGGGCTCCCAAACCCCCAAAATGGGTTTTTTTGTCACCCAAATGGGGTTCTTCTGCACAGAAATGGGGTTTTCAGTGAAGAAATGGGGCTCTACCCCAAAAATGGGATCCTTATACCTCAAATCGATCATTTCTGCCCCAAATATGGGCTCCTTCTGCCCAGTATGGGGTCTTTCCTCCCCAAATTGAGTCCCTTCTCAAACTGGGATCCATTTTTTTCCCAAAATCGAGCCTTTTTTCCCCAAAACGTGGATATTTTTCCATGAAAGAAGGCTCTGCCCCAAAAGAAACGGGGTTATTTTCCCCCAAAATTGATCTTTTTTCCTCCAAAAAGGGATCCTTTCCCCTCAAATGAGCCCAATTCCCCCCAGGTTGGCCCTTCATCCCCCAAAACTGGACAATTATCCCCAAAAAGATGTCTTCCCCCCCCCAAATCCAGCCCTTTGCCCCAAAGTGGTTCTTTTTTCCCCTAAAACTTAACAATTATCCCTAAATCAGCCCCCTCTCCCCCCCACCTGGGCCCCCCCCCCCCCCCCCCCCCCCCCCCCCCCTCCCCCCGGAATTGTTGAATTTTCGGTTACGTTTTCCCAAAACAGCTCAGTTTTAACCCACGCCAATCATCCCTTTAAGCCCCGCCTTCTCCGTGTCACGTGGTTCGGGGAAACCACGCCCCTTTCGCGCGCGAGGCCGGGGGGCGGGGCGTTGCCGCGGTGTGGGCGGGGCTTAGCGGAGGGGGCGGGGCTTGGCGGGCGCGCGCGAGCGAAGATGGCAGCGCTGAGCGCGGATCCGCTGGGGCTGGAGAG